GGACTTTCTCACTTGGTCTATCTTAATAAAATTTTTCTGGAGCTGATTGTATGGCTATGCTGGCACAACTAAAAAGGTGATAATATCCCTCTAAGAGAAGGCAGTGATGTGACCAGCATTTGGGACAGGGTGGAGGAGTTCAGTTCAGCACAGCTGGTAGAGGCCATGGGACCACAGTCTGAAGGGTGATGTCTCAGTAAAATTAATTTTTCTCGTTTGTCTCCTTCTACAGGAATATTCAGACTGTTTCTTGTTTTGTCTCAGTGTTACAAGGGCCTTTATTTTACCTCCCAGTGTTGAAACTCCTTTGTTTTCAGTAGAGTTTCTCCAGATTAACAAGTGAGATCAAAATAGTCAGGCAGCAAATCAATAGGTTTGCTAAGCTTAATAGAAAAGGTCCTTTATCTAGACACTCTAACTCCTTTTCCAATAAAAACCTATTAAAATGATACTAACATTAGCAGTATGGGAAATTGCTTGTGCATACAGGTTGATGAAATGAAGCATATGGTGTGTCTTGACTTGCCATTTTCAGTTCTGCTGGGAATAGTCATTTACCAACCATTAAAACTCAATACCATGCCTATAAAATGATTGGCATTTATAAAGGTAAATATTGCACAGTGACTGTTCAAATGCTTCTTCTGTTACAAGAGCTATTGCAACTGCCACAGACAGTGATGTTGCCAGCACTGACGCTGAAGAGTACTGAATAAAGTCAAACTGGCTCATAGATTCAAAGGAAATGCTTAAAACATGGGTCCCTGGGAAAAAAAAGAAACATTTTAAGGAAATTTGAAAAGAAATTAAGAAAAAAACCCCAAACTTTAAATATTCTGAAAGGTTTGCTGGAATGATTGTTTTAAAGGAATTTTTTAGTTCTTATTTTCTTAGCCAAGAAATATGAAAAGTGCCAATTCTGGTTTTGCCCGGGCAGCTCTTCTGGATCACAGAGAATGTACGGTTCTCACATTGTCAGTCTCAGCTGCTTAGCCTTGGAGAGTATCATTCTTTCTCCAGGCAATATTAATTAGGAAAATTTAGTGGGCTGTACATTCACACAAATTGTTTTAATACTATTCTGAGAAAATTCAGTATAAGCCCTGCTGAATTAGATAGTATGTATTATTATCAATATTTAAGGTGACTTTTCTCCATTCAAACCTAATTTGATATTAGCAACTAAAAAACAATTAACATTTTTCCCCAGGGGAAACTGATGTAGCAAAGTTTTATATTCTTTAGGTTTACTTCTCTTCTATGTGTTTTCTTACTCCCTCTCTCTCTTTTTGTAGAAGAATTAACCCTTCAGCAATTTAAAGACTCCCCATTTGTAAGTCAAATAATAGATAAAGTATCATATGACATACAAGACCTGTCAACAACTTGAGTATTTCCAACAATTTATGCCTAATCTGTGGTCTCAGATGAATCAAAAAAATCATTAACTAAATTATTAATAATAATTGAATTTCTTAAAATTAGAATGAAATATATGTCATAATCTGCCTGTTTGCAGATAGGTTAAGAAGAGAAAAGTGAATTAAATTTAGCAAATAAATTATCTCTAGCAAATTGTTCTTATTATAGTTGCTGCTCCTTCTCTGTTCTTCTCTGGTCTCTTGACTACAATAAAGCTTATTACACCACATAGATTTTCAAATGTACACATAAAGAGAAAATGTAATCTTGTCTGTGAAGTGAGTTTGCCCCAGTTGTCACAGTTTCTAGTCTACCTAATAGTTTCTTAACTTGCAGTTTATTAGATGTCTGAATCATTTACAAATTTGACCATGGATTTCTGAGATTTTACATGCTCTAAAATGAGTTTGTTTAAATGGCACATTGACAAATGACGAAGTAATGTGTCCAACACAAACCAAATATCAAAGTTTTCAGAAATATTTATTCAGTCAAAATATAGTTATTTTCAGAGGAAAAACAATTTGGAAAATATTTTGTGTACTAACTATATATACAAACTTGCTGTTACCTGTGGCTGCATTATCCAGGTTATACATAACCCATAGTACATGCTGCCCTCGATTTCTTAAGTTAGAGTTACTAAGTACTAAAAGCTTATTAGCCATCAAGTTTAATGTAAATCAAACCCAACTATCCTTCTTCTGGAGAAAGCACAAGTCTAGAAGTCAGCAGAATGTTGTCTATATTTTTCCTTTATTCTTAACTCTCCTTTCCAAGAGTGGATCACTGACAACAGATTTTTTTTGAGACACTGATGATAGTGTCAGTAGTCATCCTCTGTAAAGCTCTTTTCTCTTAAAAAGAAGTTATTCTAACAAGGATCTAACAAAAGCTCCCTCATATATTTCCAATAAAATAAATCACTGTGCTTGTTTTTTCGAGTTAATTTTCTTCACAGTAGCTAGTATGAGGCTCTGTTTCTGATTTGCGCTGAACACAGGCTTGATAATATAGAGATATTCTTGTTACTGCTGAGCAGTGTTCACACAGAGCCAAGACCTTTTCTGCTTTTCATACTGCTGTGCTGGTGAGGAGGCTGGGGATGCACGGGAAACTGGAAGGAGACAGCCGGGACAGCTGCCCCCACCTAACCAAAGGGATATTCCAGACCATAGGACATCATGCTCAGTACGTAAAGCGGGGGGAGGAAGGAGGAAGGGGGATGTTCAGAGTGATGCTCTTTGTCTTCCCAAGTAACCGTTACATGTGATGGGGCTCTGCTCTCCTGGAGATGGCTGAACACCTGACTGCCCATGAGAAGCAGTGAATTAATTCCTTGTTTTGCTTTGCTCGTGTGTGCAGCTTTTCCTTTCCCTACTAAACTGTCTTTATCTCACAAGTTTTCTGGCTTTTACCCTTCTAATTCTCTCCCTGATCCCACTGGTGGGGGAGTGAGTGAGCTGCATGGGGCTTGGTTACTGACTGGGCTTAAACCACAACAACCACGCATTAATATAAGCGTAAGCATTTGCAAGAACAAGCAGCAATTTTAGAGATAAATTTTCACATTTTGGGAACTTAAAATATTTTATTACTAACAGAGACAAGGGTCTATATGTTTCTTACTTGAGTCTATCCGTGTTTTTCATTCATCTTCTAACCCTGTGTATTTTTAATACATTTAATTTTGCAAGTGTAATAAATAATTTTATTTTATTCAAACATGATGCTATAACTTTACCAATCCTATTAAAGCAGTGATCAAACTAATATCACAGTTAAGGTAAATTAAGAGTTCAGATTAATCATATTCAATCATTTGATTAGTCCAATAGGTAATAAAATAAAATGGTAGTGTCAACACTAAACATTAATTTTTTGATATAACTAAGGAAAACATGAAGAGGAGCCTCTTTATCTGCAGTCCTACACTCCATCTAAAATTTCATCCCTTCCAATGTATTTGCTCTGCTGCTGGAGGACATTATCCTGAGAAGCTCCATTGTCATTTTATGCTTTTGCCAGTCTAAATTCACTAAGCAGCTGATAACCTTGACTCCTTGTAAGGCAGTATAGCAATTCAAGTACTTCTGTAGTACTTTTTCCTTAAAATCATTGTCTCACTTTCCAATTTCAAATGATAACTTTGGGGTGATAGTTCAGATGTGATGATGATTAGGTGATGCACTCTAGCAGTTTTCGACTAACATGACCTTTCAGTATAGAAGCCACGGAGTAATTCAAAGATGGTTTGGTGATTATTTTGAGGAGACTGTTAAAGATGTAGTTCACAAACACACATACTTTCATATTCACATGTACATACATTAATGAAAAATAATAAAAAAATATTAAGAACAAATTTAAAATTTTTCTGTTTCTGGGTCATATAATGACCATAGGTGGTCATATAATATCTGCAATTTTGAGCTCAATATTTTAGCTTATGCTGGGTCTTATTAAGGTGCAATCTGGTCAGGTTGGTCTTTGTGACACAAATCTTTCATCAGTTCTGTAGCTGGAAAACCTGTCCAGGAAAGAAACATAATTGTGACTGGTGGAGCAAGAGAACTGCTTTTCTCTGTTTCATCTCTGCATAAACCTTTGAATAAGGGTTGCTGCCCTCTTGCTCTGGCAGAGCAACTTCAGTGTGAATTAGATTGAGAAGACTTCTCAGCAGTCAAATGTTTTTCATCATTTTTTTCTTGCTACCTAATCCCTTCAAAAACATCTTTAAATCATGCTGGAAATTCCATCACAAATAACACTACATTTTACCAGTTATCAACCCCAATAGAAATGAGATGATAATTCATAATCTATAAAGAAAAAAGGTGGAAAATCTCTTTGCCAGGAGTTTAATCTCTGTTTTCCATCTGAGGAAATAGGAAAACAGGTGAAGACCAAAAAATCCAAAATCCCATATTGTGAAACTGGTACCATTTACTTTAGGATTCTTACTTCAGTAAGAATTTTAAATTTTACAATTTTAAAAACTGTAAAAATATTATGGACTTTTTAACTGATAGAGTTGAACTTATTTCAACATAACCATCTCTTTTTCCTTAAATTCAATTACTTTTATTGAAACTAGTCCTACAGGTTAATCCAAATCTGGAATGAAGTTTGTCATTCTTTCTGAAGAAAATAAAATACCTTTCTGTGATGCTTATTTCCACCCTTCTTATTCCCTGTATTTCATCCCTCAAATGATAGCCCTTGGCGTATATTTTGTTGAGAGTAAGACGTTTAAAATGGTATCCCTGTAGATCATTAAACTCGAAATTTGGGAAGGGAAATCTCTCACAAATTGAGCATAAGCAACTGATAGATCTCTATGGGAAAAGAAGCAGTTTAGCTGTAAATTGTGGAACCACAAAGCAGGTAAATACTTCTTAAGGTAGGCATTTAGCATCTTTAAACTTGTTCTGGTTCTGTTCGTCTGGTTCTGTTGGTATTTACTGAATTAACAAAAAATTTCCTGATTTTCTTCTCACTTCTGTATTTCAAAATACACTGATAATTTGGTTCCATGGTTCTGTTTCCATATGACTTTTTGATTCTGAATTTTTCAGGTGGATGTTTTTCAAGTGGAAGCAGTAGATGTTGGGATTCTGCAAAGGATGGTGGTTGAAAAAGGGAAAGGTTCTGACTGGCTTCTGGAGAAGATTATTGTGAAAGAATCAGCATCTTCAGGGACCGAAACATTGTTTATGGCTCATACATGGCTTAAAGACAGACATGATGGAAAAAGATCTGCCTCAGTAGCTCTGAATGCCACAGGTCAATACTATCTTCAAACTATCATTTGCTAAGAAATTTGTTCCAAACTGTAATTTGCTTCTACAAACAAGTTATTGTTTAAATTATTCCAGTAGAACATTGTCATTATATAGGGAATTAGTGCATCTGAACATGGTTGTGTTCTAGTACCATTTAGTAACCATTATTTGCCAGAGGATAATTTCTGCTTTGTTATTCCAGATTTATAGTGGCATAAATGGCAACATATTTGGCCTATGTCTTTACATATTGCTGCCTCTCCAAGTCTTAGTTCTACATTTGCAAACTATTTTTTTAAGCTTCAAGTACCTCTGCCGACTACTTGCTAGGCAGAATGAAAATGAGATAAAAAGTGGGGCAAAATATTTTTAAGCAGTGAAGAAAATACCTCTATTGTATTGAAAATGACTGTTTTACCATATTTCTGCTACACGGTTTGGACAGCTTTTGCCAGAAACAGGACATATTTTTGACTGACACCATGTGAGTAATCAGACCACAGAGGCGCAGTTTTCACCCCACTGCCTGTGACTGCACTCTTTGTCAAAACAAGAAGGGAATGTACACCCTTCCTCTCTGTGTCATGATTTCAATACAAGCATATATTTGAATACAATCTGGTGTTCAAGATAGAACCGAACCACAACACTGTCCAACCACATCAGCAGGCAATCAAAGCTCAATATGCACCTCTAAGACTGATGTAGTTCAAATGGTACTACCTCTAGGAGAAGTTAATTAACAGTATAGATGAGTCCTTAGATTAGAGAAAATACTCTAGTTCTTTTCCACCTAACTCCCAAGGCATCTCTGCTCACCATAGCAGTATTTGGCGTTACCGTTCTTGTCCAGCACTAGTCTCTTGACAATGAATATGATTCCAATTCAATCCATTTTCTCTGCTTTATCGTCTCTAAATTTTGATCATTTGAAACCAGAAGGAAAAGGAGGAAGCTGCTATTGTGCAAAAGCAAATAATTTCAGCTTTGTTTTAGATCGTATGTTTTGACTTTTCTTTAAAAAAAAAGAAAACCAAATACTTAATTTCTGTTTCTACCAGACTGCACTGATTTGAACAAAATGTTCCTGTGAGTTTCTTTATACTATAATTGGCAAATCCAGTCTAGGTTATGAACTCAAAAGAAGGCTTCTCATCTTTGGTTCAGGCCTCTACCTAATGTTTATAAACAGTTTTTGTCTATACCAAATCCCACTGAAATCAATGGAGACTAATATCACTGGGAGGAACATCAACCCCTACAATGGACTTTAAACACATCTAATTAGTACTCATTCTTCCAGAGCATGAGCTGTACAAATGAAACAGAAATGCTTTAAAATGAAAAATACTTGAATCTTCATGTTACAGCCATTTCATAGTAAAGAGTTAGCCATAGAGTCAGTTCATTAAATAGGATGATATGTAGGAGATGATGCTTAAGTAGAAAATCACATTGTACACTTCCTATTTAAATCTTTAATCTAAATGATAAAATACTCAGTCAATTGTCTCACTAGAGATGAATACAGACATTTATTATCATATAGACACTGTTCTACAGAAAGTATTAATTTGATCTTTTTTTTAATTAGAAATTCAGGAAAGGAGAAGCACTTCTGCCTGGCCTTTAGGAAAAGAAGAAATGAATTCAGGTATAACTTCTGTAATTACGTTGACTGTTTTATTGATCATTTTTGAAGTAATAATGGGAGAATATTTTCATCACCATATGTCATTACACTTATGAGTACTGACAATAGTTTCCCCTTTGTAGTAGTAAGAAATGGCAATTTACTTATACTTGATCAGCACCCAGGTGACATGCTAATAAAGTAATGCTCCCCATGTAGACTAAGCATCTTAGAAATTTTATATCAGATAGCTTGGTTAATATATGAAAACAGAAACATCATTTATATTTTTTTCCTTTTTATTTTCTTTATTTTATTTGTTCAGAAGGCAGATGGAGGATTTATTTAACAAAACATCAAGAAGAAACAAAACCAGAATTTGAAAAGTTGTCAGAAAATATATCCAAAATGGTTATGATTTTTTATGGAAGCAAAGGCAAGTCAAATCCAGTTTCCATGGAAAACAGAGTGGATCATCAGACTAAGAACCAAATAACATATGATGTAAGATATGCCTATATTTAAATTTTCTTTGAGTTTCCTTTTAAAGTGAGATAATCATGTATTATTCTTTAAATATTCAAGAAAAACAGAACTGAAATTTTCAGTTGCACACCAGATTTCATTTTTTAATTTTTTTACTTTCTCAAGTTCACAATAATCAAGCATATTCTTTTTTTTCCCCCAAAAAAATAGTTAATGTATATCAATTTAAATAGCATTAACGTTACATATTCACATTTCGAAATAAGTGTGGTATGTAATTTGAATTTGATGGAACAATTACAATGAATGTCCCTAGAAGATAAGGCTAAAATATCCTTAAGTGCCTACAGTCAACCTGGTTCTGTTGCCTTTGAAGTCAATGGGACTTTTAGCACCAAGACTGATGTAAAAGGGGTCCAGGACTGTTCTGATCCCTTTAAAGCAAACTTCCTCTCTTGCTATAAATTACCTTTGCATTTATCTCTGTTTGGGTGCTAACTCATGGTTTTGTTGCTTCCTAGATACATTTACCATCTGATTTGGGAACGCTTTATAAAGTGAGACTTGGTCTCCAGAGTTTGGAAAACAGCATATCCCAGTTGTCTCTTCATCACTTTAAAATACAGAACACATCGACCCTGGATACCTTTAATCTCACCATAAATAAAACACTTCCTCTTTCTCTTAATGGAGACAGATGGATTGAATTCCCCATACAGTGGCCATTAAAAGAAGCACTTTCTGGTAGGTATAAATCTACTTCAGAGCAGTAGACTGGTCCAGGAGGTTAACACATCCTAGTACTACAATAGAAACCTTTATCAAAACAGAAATTTTTATTGGTTTTATTTAATGATTCATAAAGGCTGGATAAGAATTTAAAATGTATGAAGGAAAATACTACCCACTACCCACTCAGATTAATTTCTGTACCATAAAATGGTAAGTGCAATATTCATTTGATTGCACAGAACCATTATTATATGCTACACAGAACAGTTCATAAGAAATATCCCTTTCTTGCAATACTGTAATATTTCTATTCTCCTTTAGTCCTCAGCAGCTCATATTACTGACATTAACAATATGATTTTTATAGCTCATTTACTATTAAGAGATTTTGTTGTTTGTTTGCACATTCCAAACAAAGACTCTCAGTAAATAACGGCTCAAAACTACATATAAGCTTCAGTTTTATTATCTTTATACACTCCAAATATTTATGCTTGTTAAAATAGTTCAACAATTCTTTCGTACATCACCTTGGTTAAGTAAAATAAAAGAAATCTTTTCACCTAAAATCCACCATATCTCCTCATTACTGAATGCTACCATATAATGAAACAATTATCAACTAAATTAACAGACCAATTAATGATACTTAATATTCAAATAATTTGTGTCTGTGTTTTATGCAGAAACCAAATAATTCAGTTCAACTAAAGTGAGTTGAAGTAGATGTTATATTAACCACCCCAATACACTTTGTATTTGAACTTATGGCCCAGTTTCAGTGAGGTGTTTGAATACATCTAAATGTATGTATGCAAATAATCTCAGTAGAATTAATAGAGGTTGAGACTTTGTGTTTTTTTCATATTTTGGCTGCAATTGATAATTTTGTATTTAGGCTTTAGATTTTATATTGCTTAAAGGTGTTATTTTCACTTGAAGACATCCAAAGTATGGGTACAAAACAGGGTTTAATGGCTTTCATCTCCTACACTCAAGACTGAAAAAAAAGGACCTTCAGGTTAACATAAAGACTGTGCCCCTTGCAAAAGCCTGATCACTGTCACATGCAGAAGTATGTAGGATACAGGTACAAGCACACAGAAATGATGGGAGAAAGATCCAGCATGGGTGATAAAGGGGCAGTGAGATTGGAATCCCTATGACCTTTTTCTGACTCTGGTTCTGTCACTTTCAACCTCTTGATTAAAAAAATAATTTCCCCATTCTTTGCCTTTTTTTTCTTTTTTTTCTTCTTTTTTTTTGTAATATTTTTATTCTTTGTAAATGTTCTGAGATTGAGAGATAAAAAAATCACAAACAAGGAATACGTGTTATATTAACCATGTGTTTAGGTAAAATAACAAACAAATTAAATAGCTCATCTCTGTGGCTTTTATTTGTTTCCACACATGCTTTAGAAATCTTAAAGGAGGCTTTGTAACCACAGTGAAGAAAAAACTAGAACCGTAATTCCCCCAAATCTTTGCTGTTTATGTCCAAGATAGCTTTAAGCAGTGTCACAGCAAGTGGTACGTGTGGAGTTCAAAGCGATCTTTACACACACACTTACTTGCAGTTTATTGTGCAAAAGAGATATGTTTTTCTGTCATCTTTCTAAATCTAATTTATTTTCTCCTCAGTTTTCTTTTTCTCAGCTAAAAACAAAACCAGTATTGTATTAATTGGAATGGAAAGCTGCTGATCATAATCATCATAACCAGAAGCCAAGTGCTGTTAAATTTCAGATAAAGCTCTGTCATTCATAGAGTGATTTAATATTTCATCTCTTAGTTATATTTTCTTTTTGCCTCTTTCGTTTTTTTTTCCTATTTGGGATTGTGATGAAGCATAGGCTAATGGCTAATTGAAACCATCAAAACACAGTTGATAAAATACAGTATAGACCCTCAAGATCTGGCTGTGAACACATGTGCCTTTGGGTGTATTAATGGGCGGAGGCCTCCAGCTGAATATATACATAAATAGTTTCTCTTCACTGTACCTCCCTTTGAGATGCTAACACCTCAGGAATCCCCAGGGATGACATGCTGCTCTCTTTCTGCTCTCACATACAGGGCTGTACAGAAGGTGAATTTTGCAAATCTGTAGTTTTTAAGGCAAAACAAATAAATATTGAAAAGGTGAAATAAAAATGCATTATGCTACTTTCAAATAGATT